CCAATGTTCACATCTGGGCATATTGAGTATTTGTGCCAAGTTTGATACAGATAACATCATTGTTTGAGTCCACAATGCTGTCTGGATGTAGGTGAACTACAACTCCAAAACTCAAGGCCAATGCCCACTAAACCCTTCCAGTATTTTGTGTCGGTCATGGGAGTTCTGTGTGCCAAGTTTAGTTCAATTCCATCATTAGTGGAGTTCAGAATGCTCTTTGATTGTAGGTGAACTATAAATAGCAGCAACTACAACTCCCAAATGGCAAACAAGTTGTTGTTTTTGTTGATTAGCCATAATCCTAGGTATTTTACTTTTGAGGCTATCTTGCAAGCTGATCGATATTACTTTTTGACAGTTCTTAACTAAAAAACTTTGCCTCTCTTGGCGTGGAGCCCCTGCACCCAGTACCAACTGCTTCTGGCTTCTGCGAGAGACTCTTACCAAGCAGAGCTTTGTAGACTTCCAGGGGGAAAAGAATTCAGGTTTCTGTGATGGCTGACTGAAGTCCTTCAGCAAAGGAGCTGTAGGGCTGTATAACACTGGCCAAGCTGTGGACCGTATATCTCCCCGGCCAAGCCGTAGAAGACGAAGCTTTCTACAGGAGCTCTTGGTATTATGCCCTGCATGGAAAGCTTCTCTGTGTGGACTGAACCCAAAATGGCTTCTATTCCCTCTAAAAACCCAAAAAGGGGCAGGACCAGGGAACCTAACTATAATTGACAGGTGGCTTGACCTATGATTGCAGCCAAAAGAAGCCACCTATCTGCAGAGTCCCTGAAACTTAGGACTACAACAAACATTCAATGCAAAGCAAACAAAATTGGAGCTCTTGGTACAGTTGTACCTGCACAGGGGGCTAAATAGAAACCAGAGGAACAGAAACAGCCAGAGGTTTGAACAGGAGTCCCCCAGCCCCGACTTCTGGATACTGCCCTCCAGGAAGGACTGGGCCACTGTAAGGCTGTGCCTCCCAGTCCCATCCCAGCAAGACAACTCAGAAGGATACCATGGTCAATTGTATCGAAAACTGCTGAGAGGTCCAGGAGAACCAACAGGGACACACTCCCCCTGCCTAGCTCTCTGTGTAGATCATCCACCAAGGCGATCAACACTGTCTCTATTCCATAGCCAGGTCTGATACCAGATTGAAACACACGGAAGTCAAATAATGCTTGAATTTTGGGTATAACTTCCCGTCTTCCTTATTCCAAGATGAAATTGCTTTCTCCATCATGAATAGGAACAGCAAAACAAACTTTTGCTTTCTTAGGTTGCTATTTGCCGGGGGTGGGGAGGAAAGGATTAATTCTTTCCACCCCATGCCTGCCCTGTGGTCCTAGTCCATGAATTGGTGTGTCTGAGAGTGTGCGGCTGTAAGTGACCCAATTAAAATAACATCTAGATAGGCATGTAGATCATGTGAGTGTCTTGTGGGTTAAAGTCTTTGTGCTGAAAACTCTTATAAGAAAATGAAGCTCCACAAATATCGACCATATGGCCATACTCACACTTGTTTTAGCACAAGAGGCAGCTGATATCTAACTCCGGGCAGTTTGGCTTAATTCTTTTCATCAAATAATAGAAGGCTCTTACCATTTATACAAAGGCAGCTTTGACATAACAACATGATAATTTTGGAATACAACATGATGTATCAAATAAGTTTCAAAGAGATCATTTGTTCATTTTTCAGGATCCAGCTTCACTTGGATCAAGGCAGAAATTCCTCAAGGCAAGGACACGACCTCTCAAGGGGATTTCTAAAGATAATTATAATTGTATTTGTGTCTGTGTTCTGTCTGCACTTTTATAAGGCTATTATTAATGAAATTATTAAGGAAAGAAAAATTAGTATTTTAGATTTTCCTTGGATCAGGGCAAAAAGGAAAATCTTAATTCATTAAAAATTCACGGGGCAACACAAATTTTGATGCCTCAAATGTTAGCCCTGTTTCTGAGTATATTTGACCTGCTGATTCCAAAAATGGCACGAGTTTCCTGTCAGCTCTAGTTTTTGAGATACAGAACATATGCCATCAATCACTCTTTACTCTGTTCGCCCATAAAATATCTGAATATTTTAAAGTAGCGTTTAATATTTTAAAGCATGAAATAAATATATTAAAACTTAAAAGAAAAGTGTATTATATGAAAATCTACTGATTCCATACCAAAAATCCAGCCACATCTAAGAAACTGGAGTGGATGTGGTCTATCCAATGCAATTTTCTGAATCAGCACCCCAAATAATCACAGGAACAGGCCTGAAAAACAAGATATCAATAATTTTTGTTTATGTTGTTGACTGTACGTTGCACTGTGGCCCAGTCTGGTGATCTGGAAAATAAAGTAATGAGAAAGTGTTGGTTTCTAATATATGTAATTTCTTTCTGCTTTGTGGGTCAACAGTATTTCTTGCTGTTTCTTTGTCAGTGTTGATGTATGTGGAGATTGTCTGGTTTGCCTACCCTGGAACATGCAACATATCATTGTCCTTCTTTAGGGGTCCCTTTCTAATCTGTGATACTATACATCTCTCTGTGTGAATCATATATGTCTATCTATATCTATGGCTGGATGGCTCTTTGTCAGGAGGGCTTTGATTATGTTTTCTTGCTCTGGTGAAGGGAGTTGCACTGGATGGCCTTAAGTATTTTCTGTTGGTCATGGGGGTTCCGTGTGGGAAGTTTGCCCCGATTCTGTCGTTGGTGGGGTTCAGAAGGCTTGTAACTACAAATCCCAAATGTCAAGGCCTATTTCCCCCAAACTCCATCTGTGTTCATATTTGGGCATATTCAATATTTGTGCCAAGTTTGGTCCAGATCCATCGTTTGAATCCACAGTGCTCTCTGGATGTAGGTGAACTACAACTCCCAAACTCACGGTCAATGCCCACTAAACCCTTCTAGTGTTTTCTGTTGGTCATGGGAGTTCTGTATGCCACATTTGGTTCAATTGCATCATTGGTGGAGTTCAGAATGCTCTTTGATTGTAGGTGAATTATAAATCCCAGCAACTACAACTCCCAAATGACAAAATAAAAAAAAATGAGTGAAGGACATACATTGGGTTGTTAGGTGTATGCTGACCAAATTTGGTGTCAATTGGCCTGTTAATCCCACAAACGAACATTACATTTTTATTTATATAGACTAGCTGTACCCGCCATGCGTTGCTGTGGCCAACCTCCCTCGTTCTCTCCTTCCTTCCCTCTTTTCTCCCTTCCCTCTTTTTCTTTCCCTTCTTCTTTCTTCCTTCTCTGTTTCTTTTCCTGCTTCCTTTGCTCTTTTGTTCCATCCTTCCTTGTCTCTTTCCTTCCCTTCCTCCATCTTTCGTTCCTTCTCTCCTTCCTTCCCTTTCACTTTTTTATTTCCTTCTCTTCTTCCTTCTTTACCTTTCTTTCTTTCTCTCCTTCCCTACTTCTTTCCCGCCCTCCTTCTGTCCTTCCTCCCTTCCCCTTTCTGTGCCTGTGTTTTCTGTGTGCATATATGTGTGTATGCATTTCTGTATATATTTGTGTATATGTGTGTGTTTGTGTACATATGTGGTTTTGCTCATGTGTTGTAATGTTTTTTGGGTTTTGGCTTTTTAAGTCCCTTCTGCTGTATTTTTCAGTGTTTTTATGAGTGATGGTCACTTCGTTGGCCTGATAGGTGTATTGTGTCTAAATTTCATGTCAATTTTTTGAGGTTTTTGAGTTCTGTTATTCCCACAAACGAACATTACATTTTTATTTATATAGATTTATACCCCGCCTTCCTTAACCCCAAAGGGGACACAAGACGGTTTACATATTGGCAATTATTCAATGTCTTAGAGTGTATAGGGAAAGACATCACCCAGTTAAGTTCCAAATGATGTGTTTGGATACTAATATGTTTATATTTGTTAAAATTGTTTTTAATTTTAATTATTGTATTGTTTTTAAGTGTTTTTGCACTACAAAAAACACTTAAAAACAATACAATAATTTGCCTTGGGCTGTGAGAAGATCCAGCCAGTCCATACTTCTGGAAATAAAGCCTGACTGCTCATTGGAGGGAAGGATATTAGAGGCAAAGATGAAGTACTTTGGCCACATCATGAGAAGAAAGGAAAGCTTAGAGAAGACAATTATGCTGGGAAAAATGGAAGGAAAAAGGAAGAGGGGCCAAGCAAGGGCAAGATGGATGGATGGGATCCTTGAAGTGACTGGATTGACCTTGAAGGAGCTGGGGGTGGTGACAGCCAACAGGGAGCTCTGGCGTGGGCTGGTCCATGAGGTCACAAAGAGTCAGAAACGACTGAATGAATGAACAACAAAGTGTGCGTAAGAATTCATTCATGTTTTTTTTTTCTTTTCAAATTATAAACCGGCCCTCCAACAGTTTGAAGGACTGTGACCTGGCTCTATGTTGAAAAAGTCAGGGAAACAGGGGCGGCTCAACATTACGCAAAGTAAGCATTTGCAGTATAGTTGATTTTGCCCAGGGGCGCTCTTGAGGCGCTCTTGGGGGAAAATAGACCTTGACATATGCGAGTTGTAGTTACTGGGATGTATAGTTCACCTACAATCAAAGAGCATTCTGAACTCCACCAATGATGGCATTGAACCAAATATGGCACACAGAACTCCCACGACGAACAGAAAATATATATCAGTGATTGGTTGGGGGGGGGGGGGCGCCAAAATACTGTTTGCTTACTGTTGAAAATTACCTAGGGCCGTCTCTTTTGAGGACCCCTGTTCTAGAAGCTGACGTTTCTCCTGCATCTGTGAGGATTGGGAAGAACCTCTTGAGGTTAAGAGCTGGAATATGTTGCAGCCTGAGAGAGGGTTGGAGTGGAAGACGCTTGTGTGTGTGTGTGGGGGGGGGGGGGGTAATTTCCAAAGGGAGTTTTTGTGGGATGAAGCCCATGCCTGGAAGCGCGCTCTTCTTGCGCGTGCGCACAGGCGACGCGCTCGGGGCGGGGTTGCTGCTGCTGCTGCTGCTCCTCCAGGGAAGTCAGTCAGTCAGTGAGTGAGTCAGGCGAGCGCTTTGTGGAGTCGCATCCCAGGTAGCGGAGCCGTCGGGAGGGAGGGATGCGGCCACGAGCGGATGGGGCAAGGGAGAGGGTGCCGTGCGCGAGGCCGAGCCAGCCCGAGAAGCGACCCGCTGCCCCTCAGGAGGGGATGTAGGCTCTGCAGGACCTCGAGAGCCGCGGCTTCTTCGGAGCGGGACCTCGAGAGCCGCGCCGGGAAGGGAATGCGCGGCGCGAGACTCCGCGGCTACAGGTACGAACAGGCTCACGCGCACGGCAAGTTGTGTCTCGAGCTTTCCCTTCGCCTTAACTTTTCTCACTCACCCAAAGCTGCTGATTGAAGGAGGCGCGCGTCCTTCAGTGGCGAAAGTCTCGTGCTAGAAGGCAGCTGGAGGCTTCAGTCTTTTATACATGACTCCAAGCATAGGTCAAGGTTTACTTTTGGTGATAGTATGAGAGCTGGGTCCGAGCGTTACGCACATTCCGCAACGGTGGTTGTGAATAAGGGGAGGGGAGGGCGGCACACTGAGGAGGGCGGGAATAGACTTCAATTTGGTGGACGGATAGAAAGGAGGGGAGGGTTAGGATAAAGTTTAGGGCAGTGGTTCTCAACCTTCCTAATGCCGTGACCCCTCAATACAGTCCCTCATGTTGTGGTGACCCCCAACCATAACACTGTTTTTGTTGCTACTTCATAACAGTCATTTTACTACTGTATTGTAAATACTGCTGTATTTACTACTGTATTTACCATGGTCCCGGTAGCAGACACCATGGCACTCATCAACCAGAGGTTCCCAGAAGACATCACGGCTCTGTTTCACCATTGCCTCACCACCAGTTACTTTCAGTGGGACAATGAATTCTACGAACAGAAAGATGGAGTAGCTATGGGGAGCCCTCTCAGCCCGGTCATAGCTAACTTCTACATGGAACACTTTGAAAAACAAGCCCTGGAAACAGCAACCAAAAAGCCCACGATATGGTTCAGAGATGTGGATGACACCTTCACCATTTGGAGCCATGGGGAAGAAGAACTCAACAGGTTCCTGGACCGTCTTAACAGCATCCACCCAAACATCCAGTTCACCATGGAAAAAGAAAATGAAGGAAGACTGCCTTTTCTAGATGTCCTAGTCATCCGCAAACCAGATCAACAATTGGGTCACACCGTCTACAGAAAACCCACACACACAGATAGATATCTACATAAAAACTCCAACCATCACCCAAGTCAAAAAAGAAGCACCATTAAAGCCTTGGCAGACCGTGCAAAAAGATTCTGCGAACCCCACCTCCTCCAAGATGAACTGAACCACCTCAACTGGGCTCTCCAGGCCAATGGGATACTCCACCTCAGACATCAGAAGAGCTGCAAGACCAAGAACAAGCCACGTGAGTAAAGATGAAGATCCACCCAGAGGAAAAGTGTTCCTGCCATACATCAAGGGAACCACTGACCGCATAGGGAAGCTGATGAGGAAACACAACATACAAACAATCTACAAACCCACCAAGAAAATCCAACAAATGCTACATTCAGCAAAGGACAAGAGGGATCCTCTCACCTCTGCAGGAGTCTACCGTATACCATGCAGCTGTGGACAAGTCTACATAGGGACCACCAAACTCAGTTCCAAACACGAATCAAGGAACATGGAAGACACTGCAGACGACTTCAACCAGAGAAGTCAGCCATAGCAGAGCACCTGATGAACCAACCTGGACACAGCATATTATTTGAGAACACAGAAATGCTGGACCACTCTCACAACCACCATGTCAGACTACACAGAGAAGCCATTGAAATCCACAAGCATGTGGACAATCTCAACAGAAAGGAGGAAACCATGAAAATGAACAAAATCTGGCTACCAGTATTAAAAAACTCAAAAATTACAACAGCAAAACAACAGAGAGTAAACAATCAGACACATCAATTCACTCTCAACAAGAGATTCCCCCCCAGGCGCTTCCAGGCCATTGAATGCAAATCAAGGTGATCAGCTGAAACATTACCCTGGTCATTCCACAGATATATAAACCCATTTTTCCTATTCCAACAGACCTCACTACCTCTGAGGATGCTTGCCATAGATGCAGGCGAAACGTCAGGAGAAAAATTGCCTCCAGAACATGGCCATATAGCCCGGAAAAACCTACAACAACCCAGTCATTTTACTACTGTTATAAATCATAATGTAAATATCAGATATGCAAGATGTATTTTCATTCACTGGACCAAACTGGGCACAAATACCCAATGCACCCACATGTAAATGTTAGTGGGGTTGGGGGAGGATTGATTTTGTAATTTGGGAGTTGTAGTTGCTGGGATTTATAGTTCACCTATAATCAAAGAGCATTCTGAACTCCACCAGCGATGGATTTGAACCTAATTTACCACACAGAACTCCCATGACCAATGGAAAACACTGGAAGGGTTTGGTGGGTATTGACCTTGAGTTTGGGAATTGTAGTTCACCGATATCCAGAGAGCACTGTGGACTCACACAATAGTGGATCTGGACCAAACTTGGCACAAATACTCAATATCTGCAAATGTGAACACTGGTGGAGCCTGGGGAAAATAGACCTTGACTTTAGGGAGTTGTAGTTGCTGGGATTTATAGTTCATTACAATCAAAGAACATTCTGAACTCCGCTAACAATAAAATTGGCTCAAACTTCCTACATAGAATCCCCATGACCATCAGAAAATACTGTGTTTTCTGATGGTCTTTGGCAACCCCTCTGACACCCCTTCATGACCCCCTCAGGGGTCCCGACCCCCAGGTTGAGAAACACTGGTTTAGCGTTAGGGTTAGGGTTAGAATTAGGCTTGGGGGTTAGGCTTAGGGTAAGGTTTAGGGTCTGGTTTAGGATTAGGGTTAGCTCTTCCAGCAGTCACCAGCCAATCCTTCTCCAATGCCAGTAATACAGCTTAATGGTGTAACATTAGAAAATGTTGATCATTTCCACTACCTTGGCAGCCACCTCTCCACAAAAGTCAACACTGACACTGAAATACAACATCGCCTGAGCTCTGCGAGTGCAGCATTTTTCTGAATGAAGCAGAGAGTGTTTGAGGATTGGGACATCCATAGGGATACCAAGGTACTTGTTTATAAAGCTATTGTCTTCCCAACCCTGCTATGTGCCTGCGAAATGTGGACTCTCTACAGACGTCACATGCAACTCCTGGAACGATTCCATCAGTGCTGCCTCCGGAAAATCCTGTAAATCTCTTGGGAAGACAAGCGGACAAACGTCAGCGTGCTGGAAAAAGCAAAGACCACCAGCATTGAAGCAATGGTCCTCCGCCATCAACTCCGCTGGACCGGCCATGTTGTCCGGATGCCCGACCACCGTCTCCCAAAGCAGTTGCTCTACTCCGAACTCAAGAACGGAAAACGGAATGTTGGTGGACAGGAAAAGAGATTTAAAGGTGGGCTCAAAGCCAACCTTAAACACTCTGGCATAGACACTGAGAACTGGGAAGCCATGGCCCTTGAGCACTCCAGCTGGAGGTCAGCTGTGACCAACAGTGCTGCAGAATTTGAAGAGGCACAAATGGAGGGTGAAAGAGAGAATCATGCCAAGAGGAAGGCACGTCAAGCCAACCCTGACCGAGACTGCCTTCCACATGGAAACCAATGCCCTCACCACGGAAGAAGATGCAGATCAATAATAGGGCTCCACAGCCCCCATGGACCCACAAGAATACTGATCCTGGAAGACTATCCTACTCGGCCAACGAGGGATTGTGCATGTATGTATGTGTGTATGTATATATCCCCATGCAATCCAAAGTGTGTGTATTTATATTATATGTGCTTCCCTATGCAATCCAATCTCTCTCTCTCTCTCTCTGTGTATGTATATATATATAGAAAGAGAGAGAGAGATGTATATGCTTCCCCATGGAATCCAAAGTGTGTGTGTATGTATACAGTATGCATACAGTATGTGTGTATATGTCTCTGTGTGTGTGTGTGTGTGTGTGTATATGTGTGTGTATATATATATATATATATATATATATATATATATATATATATATCAGCTTAGGATAGCACAGGGAAGTGTTAACACCCCTGTGATGTTTGTTTTGCTGTCTGTGTCCTGTTCAGAAGTGTCCCTGTGAGAATTGGATTTTGGGGAAACAAGGATGGGTATTTATTATTTATCGTATCAGAAGCAAACCAATGTATTTGAGAAAACAGACATTTTAAAAACTTGGCATTCTGTTAAATGTCCTGTGATCAGTAGCTGGCCTCTGGTGTTGCTATAAGAAAGTCCTCCATTGTGCATGTGGCAGGGCTCAGGTTGCATTGTGGTAGTGGTCTGTGGTTTGCTCTTTTCCACACTTGCATGTCGTGGACATCCCAAGCCCCTGCTACACTGACATATAATCCAGATTATCAATGCAGATAATCCACCTTTTCTGTTTTGAACTAGATTATATGAGTCTACACTGTGATATAATCCAGTTCAAAGCAGATAATCTGGATTTTATATAGCATTGTAGAAGGGGCCTTAAATCCAGGGTCCACATCAAGTCCACAGCTCTGCCTGGGCAAGAATGAACACATGGATGTGTGAATGAATACATATATTTGTGAATTGATGACAGAGGCCCCTTCTACACAACTGTCTAAAATCCAGATTATCTACCTAGAACTGGATTATGTCGCAGTGTAGAAGGGCCCAGAGTGGCCAGGTGAAATATCTTTATCAAAAAAAGAGTCAACTCTCATGCAAGCAACTCCAGCTGAAATTCTTTCTTCTGCACAACCACAAAAAGTGCAGGAACTTTGTCCCTTATTTCACCAGGCAGCCCTAGTTGATGAACACGTGTTAAAATCAGCTGGAGAGTAGTGCCCTAAAGCTTATATGGAACACAGCCGTTTCTGTCTTGCATATAGGAAATCCTGCCTGTAAGAGAAAGGCAGCCCCGAGGGGGAATGAAAGATAGGAGGAAGAGTCTGGGAGTGTGTGGATAAAAGGCACTAGTTGCCACTCAGGCCCCTTCTACRCTGCCATATACAATCCAGAWTACCTGCTTTCAGGCCCATAGCCAGAATTTTGATTCGGGGGGTGGGGTGAGTTTGATGGGGGGGGGGAGGCTGAGGATCTACCCTAGCAAACCTTTTGTATCGYTATCCCAATATCCCCATGCATATGAGATATATTGAGCATGGTGATCAGATCATGATATGAATAAACATAACAGTTTAAATAATGTACCAGTAAGGCCTTTTATAAATACAGTTATAAGAACATGTCAAATACAGTTATACATACCATATTCACTCAAACCTAATGCTYACCTTTTTCGGCTGAAAGACCTTGCCAAAACTGGGGTGCACATTAGATAGACATCACACAGTAATGTTAGTGCTGAGCCAAAACAAGGAAAAGCTGCTTCAAGAGCAGTACCTTGAGATCCTCTTTGAGGGACGTCATCTCTAAGTAAATGGCCAGGGCTCAATACTATGCAATCCTGGGATTTGTAGGTATCTGCATTCTTTGGCAGAGAAGGCTCAAAACCTTGTTTAACTACAGCCCACAGGGTTCCATAGCATTGAACCAAAGTGGATTCATTCTACAGCATAGATACATCCCAAGGATTTCTTTTCAATCGCTGGAAGAGTTGGTGTCCTAACACAATTGTTTATAAAGAAGGCCTTCTAAGCATGCAGCAACAGTAATGTGCAACTTTTTTTGCCAAATTACAAAAAGTGTACTCTTTGCTGCTGCGCATTAGATTTGATGGCACATTAGACCTGAGCAAATATGGGTATCTATGTATCTATCAACCAATATGCAAGATCCACACTCTCCCCCTCCTCCAGAAATCCATTTGGTTCAAAATCTGTGTTCATCCTCCAGTTCTTGAAAATACATTAAATTTAATGTATTAAATAAACTCTTGTCAGAAAATGTTTTTACTTTCATCCATATTTTTATTCCATTAAAAATTATAATACGCACTACACAATTTAATTTCTTGGATAGATTTAATAATTTTGTAGAGAGCACCATTCTGTGCAAGACTCACGAAACATGCTAGAACTTTTCCTATCTCGTCTAGCGGCAGTAATTTTATGAAATAATAATAATAGTACACTTTATAATCCGCTCTATCTCCCCGAAGGGAACTCAGAGTGGATTACATATATAGTCAAACATTCAAAGCCTCCTATACGGTTAACAACAATGACATACAACACAAACAAAGGCAAAGACTAGAATAGACTAAAGTTATAGACCACATATGCCGACTGAGTTGGACATGATTTTACCTTGGTGAATTGGCTTATATGTATTTTATTCTATATGTATTTTAATCTATTGTTGTTGTATGATGTTTTAGACCAGGAGTCCTCAAACTAAGGCCCAGGGGCCAGATGGCTTCCAAGGTCATTTACCCAGCCCTTGCTCAGGGTCAACCTAAGTCTGAAATGACTTGAAGGCACACAACAACAACAACAATCCTATCTCATCAGCCAAAAGCAGGCCCACAGTTTCCATTGAAAAACTAATAAGTTTATATTTGTTAAAATTGTTCTTCATTTTAATTATTGTATTGTTTTTAAGTGTTGTTGTTTGTTTTTGTTTTGTTTTTTGCACTACAAAGAAGATATGTGTAGTGTGCATAGGAATTCATTCATGTTTTTTTCAAATTATAATCTGGCCCTCCAACAGTTTGAAGGACTGTGACCTGGACCTTTGTTTAAAAAGTTTGTGGACCCCTGTTTTAGACTGAATCTTTGCTGTTAGCCGGTCTGAGTCCCTCTACGGAGGTAGAGAAGATTGGGATACAAAAGTTTTAAACAAATAAATAAAGGTTTTCCTTTCCATCTGCAGTGTCTGGAGGCAATGCTCAACTCTGGTTATGGGGAGGTGCTCTTGTTCCATTTTTCCGTGCTAAGAAGCCTGTTGTCCGTAGACCCTCCTGGTCGTGTATTGCCGACATGGCTACATGGGCTCCTTTTACCTTCCCACCGAGGCGGTACCTATTGATCTACTCACATAGTATGTTTTTGATCTAGGTTGGCAGAAACTAGGCCTAACAGTGGGAGCTCACTCCGACTCGCAGCTTCAAACCGCTAACCTTCCGGTCAGCAAGTTTTCTAAAGCTAGCAGTTTAGCCTGCTGTGCTATTGTGGTTTTAAAAACTAATTTACACCCACTGTTTTTTTCTACTGGTTTTTAATCAAGAATTTTAAAAGTGAAGTCGTTTTATGTACATGCAAACATGTACTTCCCATAATCTGTACTATGATACTTATCACAGATGCGGCTACAGGTTATATGTGCTGAATCTTATGTATGGAAACACCTGTGTATAGATCAGCAGTATGTTTAGACATGTCGCAGACAGTAGATGTTTTGAGTATCAGTACTACTTATGCCTACACCGTCCATGTTATGAAGTCGAACTCTTCACCAATTCTGCAGGATCATGATTAACAAGCTAAGTCATTTGATGGCTTGTGGACTGAAATCAAGAGGTGCTTCAGACAACATGATTTCACTTGAGAGGGGCTTGCTCCCCAGTGCATGCAGTGCTTCTTTTGTCCATGCTTTGCATGGATGCTGATAGCTTACATAAAAATAAATGTATCATACTGTCTCCATTTCTATATAAAGCTGGACAGTGAAGAAATCTGATAGGAAGAAATTCAACACGTTTGAAGTGTAGTGCTGGGGAAATGTTACGTGTATCCCGTGGGATGCTAAAAAGACAAATAAATGGGTTGTAGAGCAAATCTAGCCTGACATCTCCCCAGAAGTCAAAATGATTCAACTGTGGCTGTTGTGCTTTAGCCCTGTCAAGAGAAAGCATGGCTCACTGGAAAATACAATAATACTTGGCAAGATAGAAGGTAATATGAAGAGAGGAAGAGCATACCTCAGATGGCTAGGAAACTGGACTTTATCACACGAGAGAGGCAAACTGGCACTGAAGCAGGACCTTTGATGGTGGTACCTACTGCATACTGCCATGTGGATTCCATCACTAGTCTGCCTCTTCCCTGTGGTTAATCTTGTTATTGATAAGGAAAAGATCCATTAGAAGCTGCAAATCATGTCATTTTCCCATTCCCTGATTGGGGTGATGGGCGTGTTCCACTTCTGTGCTGATATGCACAATGGGTGGGATTCTTCCCTTCTCCCACACCTCTTGTTATTCCCAAGCCAGAATTTTGTATAAAAAAATACCAGTGGTGTTTATTATTTTTATTCGCCATACATGGAATTGTTAAATTATCTTTAAATAATTTATTTTAAAAAATTAAAGAGCAGCAGAGTTGCAAAAGGGCAGAGTTACAAGATTATGCAGAAGCATGACTACAGGACGACAGGTCGACCAATCAGTGAAGTTGCATGGATGCAGAGACATGCAGCAGCAACTGTGGTCATGGCCAACATGTTGCCTCTATCCGTGATTGCATGACTGTTGTGGAATGGTGGTTTTGTTTGATAAAATCCTATATCAGGGAAGTCTTTCATCTGAAAGACATGAGTCAGTGGGTGATTTGTGGTCTCTTATTCATAAGGTCACCAGAAGTCAATGCTGATTAACAACACATTTGCTGTTGGCCTTGCCTGCTTGATCTGATAAATTGTCCAGCCTGTATTGCTTTGGTTGGGACAGGTGGAAGCTGTTCCAAGGATTTTTACAGCCCTACATCAATGGGGACCTGAAAAAGATCCCTGTGCTAATGCATTGGTTATTTTTCTGGATCACCATTCAGGAAATATGGTAGAATTATGTTCTGTTCTGCCCAGGTGATGGCTTATCTGTTGGGTTCACAGAAATGTCAGGGTTGTGTTTTTCTTCTTGTTGGTACTGTCATCTTCTGAGATATATAGGCAGCCCCAGTGTGTTCTCCATCTTTTCCTGAAGCTGTTGTACATGGTAGGGAAGGTGGGAAAAAGTTATCTCTGATAGTCCAGGTAGCATATCTTCCTGATTACCTTCTCGTCTAATCTTGGTAGGTGAGTAGGGAGATAGGTATGGATGATGCCATCACATGTTCTCTTTTTTTTTCGCTCTAAGGTTGGCAGGGAGGGTAGAGGATCATAAATTGTCTTCTTCCTTGGGATGTGGCRGTAGTAATTCACTTTCCACTTCAAACAGCTGGAAAGCTTTGGTCACCCCTGCATATGAAATCATAGAAATGCACATGTAATTGCTTCCTGACTTCTAATGGGGGGGGGGGAGGATTTTTCATTAATGAGAGGGAGTCTTGTTTCTCTCCCCCATATATTTAACAAAAGCACAAAAACACCATAATTGCCTGCTTTGGAAGTTCCTTTAAAATATCTCTCCCCCCCCCCCCYCACAACCCCCAGACTGGTTGACTGCTTTCTTTACTTTATAAAACTATCATTACACTTTCTTATGAAATGTGTTGTTGAAGGCTTTCATGGCCAGAAACACTGGGTGGCTGTGAGTTTTTTGGGCTTTATGGCCACATTCCAGTAGCATTCTCTCCTGACGTTCCACCTGCATCTGTGGCTGACATCTTCAGAGGTCTGTAGGAGGTGAGGCAAGTGGACTGTATATAAATCTGTGGAATGTCCATTTCTTATGAAATGCTTGTTTTGTACAGATAAATCTTACCTGTAGCATTGAAATTGCAAATATCAATTCTTTTTATAGTATTTTCTCCATTTTCTAAAACATTGCAGCCTTTGTTGTTGTTATTTAAATATGTAAACAACATTTCTGTGCTTCTGCTTTTCCCCTAGAACTCACTGCAACATCTTGACCACTTTGAGCTTTTTTACTTGAACATATACTGGAACAGTAGCACACACCCCTCCCCTCCCCCCATTCTCTTTTCCTTCCTTCTTTTTAGTTCTTTTGAAGAGTTATAGTGCTATCATATCTCTATTAAAACTGCACTTTTTCATCTTAAATCTAAAATAAATTGTGTCTGGCCAGCACAAGCTTTCAGGACTTTTGAAGTAGTGCTTTGGGAGTAGTATGGAAGTAGTTTTTCTCCCTTTCTTAAGACTGACAAACCACTTGAAAATAAATCGGCTAAGACACACCAACACACACAATCATGATGAACAATTTGAAAAACCTTGATGGGGCAGATTTAGTTTTTCCCAGAATTTGTTTTTAATGATTTTATACAGTTTGAAATATTGTGCCAAATGTGATTTATTAAGTACTATTTTCTTCTCAGATCCTAATCTGGAATGGAACCGAGGCAAAATATCTCATCTCGAGGTGATTACCCGCAAGATGAAGACCCCTTTGCATCAAAACTATCAAAGGAAGCAGACATAGTAGCTGGAGTTTATTTATTAGTAATTGGTAAGATTTACATCTTCTTCAAGTGAGTGCTCCTTCTAGTGTTATCTGTGGATAGCTATATACAAGCTGCATGCATGACGTATATTTACATAACACTGCAGTAGGAATGATTGTAGTAGTTGATAAAATTGTAAATATTCACAGCTTTTGTACTCTGGTAAAATTGGCTTTGTGCTCAAAGAAGCTCTGCAATTACATTTAGTTAAACATGATTTCTGATCCAGCTCAAGTGCTTTGTTCAGTATGTGCAAAAGTATAACTTAAGTTAAGGTGCTCAGAGATAGTTGGGGTGGTGTACCATCTTCCCCAATTCCCCCATTGAACCCTACACATGTTCAGGTCTGTATCTGAATAGGCCTATATCTATTTCTGTATCTGATGCCACCAATAGAGAAGTCGCAACAAATACAAGAATGCCACACCCAGCTGCATCTCAGGGAAGAAGGGGAGGTTGCTGAGATGAGAAAGTGGTGGAGGAATGGGGAGAGAGACAGTGGTGGAGGCAGTCTGGGAGCAAGGCAGGAAAGAAGACAGAGAGGAAGAGAAGGACAATCATCCAGCAGGATCATAGAATCATAGAGTTGGAAGAGACCTCGTGGGTCATCCAGTCCAACCTCCTGCCAAGAAGCAGGAATATTGCATCCAAAGCACCCCTGACAGATGGCCATCCAGCCTCTTTTTAAAAGCTTCCAAAGAGGGAGCCTCCACCACAGAGAGTTCCACTGCTGAACAGCTCTCACAGTCAGGAAGTTCTTCCTAATGTTCAGATGGAATCTCCTCTCTTGTAGTTTGAAGCCATTGTTCCACATCCTAGTCTCCAGGGCAGCAGAAAACAAGCTTGCTCCCTCCTCCCTGTGACTTCCTCTCACATATTTATACATGGCTACATTACTTTCTACATTTTGCTAAATATTCTGATAAAATGCACATATTGCATAGATACAATAAAACAACACGTAATATAAACACTGGCAGTAAAACAGCAACAAAATGGCAGGTGTTTAAAGTAGATTCATTTGAAATCATAGGCTGAACTGGATATCCAAATGTGCCTTGAAGCACCAATGAAGACAGAAAAGATATATAGCATAATGGACATAGCTTAGTATGGTAAATTGAATGAACTGGACTACGGTTTTATATAGTATTGGCTATTTTTATACACCACTGGAATACCAAGGTACAAGAGAATACTAATTCATATGTATATGCCTCTTACCAGAATTATCTTTATTGGAAAAATTGGCTTTTTTTGTGGTCGCTGTGAATGTACACCAATGGGTTAACTGCTCCTGTGCTGTCCAGTTTGGTACCTTCTAGAGCTCTTAGAGATACTTTCGCTCTGTAGTTGTCCTAGTTAGGCTTTTAATCTCTAGGCCTTCTAACTCTAACTTCACATTTAGCTTGTAGTTTTTCTCTGTAGTCTCCAGGATTCTGTCTCCTCAGTCTATGAGCTCAGAGTCCAGCCTTTGGAGTTGTCTACCTTTGGTAGTCTCCACTTGTTTCAGTACTCCTTCAGGATACCCATAGATCCTGAGAAGTATACTGCAATGTGAAGGAAATTGTTCTGTCGGATGTAAGGTCAAAATGTCAATAATGGCCATTCCTGCTGTTTGGTTTGCCCTGGTGTGGTACATACGGCCTTGGCTTGCAAGATATGCCAGACCTTCACACCAGTGGCCAGGAGGAACAGGGAACAGCATCTCAAAGCAGCCTTTAAACCATCTTTAAAGGTCAGCCATCTTCTTCAGCCTCACCCTCTACTGAAACCCCTCCTTTGCCATCCAAAAACAAATCTTCAAATGCCAAGTCTCCCCCCCCCCCCCCCCCCCCCCCCCCCCGGCAACAGCAGATGTCTCCTCGACTTTGCTGCCTAAACATGCTCATTCAGATGAGTCTAAGAAGTACAAAAAGTACAAGGTGGGGTGTTCTCCATTGACTGAAAATGCGGTGGACTTTGTCTGAGTGGAGTTTCCATTTATGGCAGACATGCGTAATTCTGCTGAGTTGGTCTGCCAGCACATTGTAATTTCCTGACAGATGGAGTACCTTTGGGAAGACATTCCTTGGAGCACAGTAATGCCAGAGGTAGAGAGCTAGGTTAAGGAGGGTCCAGGACCTGGTGCCCCCTGCTTGTTCAAGTATCAGACAATAGTAGAATTGTCAGTAACAGTGCAAATGTCTATCCTCCTCTTTTGCAGTAGCTTGCTAGTTTCTCTTTGGTGTTCATTCACAGAAAGCACAAAGAAGAAATACAAATTGCTTATCTATAATTGTGGTTCTCCTGTAGTGGCAGAGAACATCCTTTTGATGATTGTCCCCTCATGCCTTCTCCTATGGACATAGTGCTTCAACCATTCATTTTACTTTTAGATTCCTTTAGTCAGTGACTAAAAATCAAGAAGTGGATATCTGTTTTTCTGTAGAAATGGACTGTTGATTGGATAACTCAAAAGCAAAAGATAGTTACCACATCTTCTGCTGAAGATGGATATGTCCCAGCATCTGAAGTATTTATAGAGTTAAAATGGCTGCATATGTTGTTTTTGGGCTTTAGATTAGTTAAACCCACCTCAGCTGAAGCTTTTGAAGACAACCAAGGGTGTATAAAAAGATCTCAGACAAAAGATCAGCATGTAGCCATAAAATATATCATAAAGGATGTGTACAAAGAGGGATTTATTAAACTGGAATACTGTCTAATAGAAGAAACGATTGCTAATATTCTTATAAGCCTGGGAAGGTAGGCTGGCAGTGCCAAAAAGGTGGGGTTTCAGGCCCCAGTCTGGCCTCCAAAGATGAATGAAATTGGCATTTAAAATGCCTATTTCATTCACTTTTGGGAAGGTCCCCAAAGCTGGCTGTACACTCAGCTGGCTGCTGGATGAGCTGCTGCTTCAGCTGCCACCTCGATCTGCTTTACTAACTAGATGTAACTACATTAAGTATGTAATGAATTTACACTTGCAATAGGCCTTTATAACATACCCCTTTTTGTTTCTGTGGAACATTGATTGCTGCTTATGATTGCTATTGCTTGGTGCATTTTTACTGGCTGCCTTGCCTTGGTTGTGCAATTTGAAACAGTTTAGGTCAATGTCTGCAAAAAAACCCAGGGAAACATACATAGGAACATCATTGTAAAACTATTTTTAGAGTTTCACATGACCCTTGAGCCCACAGTAATGGGGCTCTTTAGCTGCTTCTATCCTCTGATGAGAACCAGTTGCAGCTACTGTTCTTTTCTGGCCACTCTCACACAACAAAAGCCATGCACAATTCAAAATGCAGGTTGCATGGGATTTCTGCTATGATATCAAATACTTTTTTTTCAGATTTGAGCTCGAGAGTCAAAGGATTACAAGGCTGTATAATTAAAATGTCATAATGCCACAGTTCCTGTCTTCATATTGTATAGACCAGGCATGGGCAAACTTTGGCCCTCCAGGTGTTTTGCACTTCAACCCTCACAATTCCTAACAGATAGTAAGCTGTCAAGGATTCTGGGAGTTGAAATCCGAAATGCCTGGAGGGCCGAATTTTACCCATGCCTGATATAGATCATGCATAATATGTGTCCAGTTCTCATGCCCACACTACAAATTACACTGTGTAAAACAATTTTTGTTCCTGGGTTATAAATGTCATTTCCTAACTAGTTCTATCATTAAAAATGGGAAAGGTTTATTAAAATGCCCAAACTTTATTTTTGCGGGACATCCTGCATCACATTTTGCTATAGTTGTTCAATGAATATCTCAGAGAATCTCAACCCATTCAACATTGCTTGTGGCAGCCACAAAAATGAAGTTTCTGGTGCATAACAACTACTTTCAAAGTAAGTTTCACACAATTAAACAGGAAATAACACTTTCAAACCAGGTACAGCATTTTTTAAAAAAAATTGTTACACAATGTAGGTTTTCCTTATACTGTGACCTGCCGTTGGGTATCAAGAAGATGTGCTATTTTTTTCCTCACAATTGTTCCATGCAAAACCAGAGCAGACTACACCCTTTAAGAATAATCTGTACTAGAGGATAGAACTAAATCCACCAGTTTGACTTATACTCTGACCATATAATTCAGTTTCAAACCATAGCCTATTTCTGAAGGATTTTGGTTTCCTGAAAAAAAAATTTTTTGTTGTGACTGTGTGTTGGAAGTGAAGCAAATTTGGAGGTGGTGAGGAGAAACTCAGAATTGTATTAAAAGCATCCTGGTAATTTTCAATTCCTCTATATCAGACTGGTATAATGTATTTTAATTTGTTGACTCAGCTTTTAATATTTGTACAAAATGTTTACTTGATTGAGTTTTATTGATTTGTTATTGTTTACCTTGTTTACCTGTGTTATATTAATTATTTTGTTGATTTATTATTTACTTTTAAAATCGAATGGCTGCCATTTTTGTTGTGAGCTGTCCCGAGTCCCCAGAGGGGAGATAGGACAGGATACAAATAAAGTTTACTATTACTACAACCTGCAGCCCTCCATCAGTTTTGGCCTCCAACTTCCAGAACTTCTGGCCATTGGACAAACTGGCTAGGGAATAGGAGGCCAAAACAGCTGCAGGGCCGCAGGTTGTGCCAGCCTGCTCTATATGAAATGCAGGCATTCTGAAACTTCACCAATGCTACCTAAAGTTCATTATGAATTAATAACAACTTTTAAAGTCAAACAACTGGAAAAAAAAGTACAGTATCTCCCTGAATAATTCAGACCCTTTGACAGTGAACAATATTCTAAGCACTTTGAAGGGAAAATCACCCACTTCCATTGTTACGTGGCTACTATAGTTAATTCACATTCAGCAGATAGAATTTAACTCCCTGCTTGTCCAGTGTTATTTCCCTGTTAGTACAGCCCAATCAGGGCCTAAATACCCCAAGACTACACATCATCTTTGATCTTGGAAACTAAGCAGAGTCATCTCTGGTTAGTACTTGGATGGGAGACCACCAACAAATGCCCAATGTTGTAGGGTATAATTCAACAGAGGAAACTGGCAAAATCACTTCTGAGTACTCTTTGCCTAAGAAAAGCCTATGGAATTCATGAGGTCACCATAAGCTTGGAGGCACAGACACACATAAATAACAGGCATGTGCAAAAAATTGGAAGTTTCGGAAATCGTACAAAAATCGGAAGTTTTGTAAGTTGGAAGCCATATTCTAAGCATTTGCGTGGCCCACACCAAATATTTTAGAATTGAAACTTACCCCATACTTTTGGTTTTAGTTTTGTAAATCTTGGAAGGCTCCAAAGTCAGTTTCATATTTAATGCAAGGCAAGGAAGCAAAGCCAAAGGCTGCCTTAGTGCCTTGCCATTGCTCTGTGAAATTAATGCAATCTCAGCATTAGCAAAAGAGGAAGCAGTGCATTTTGGGAAAAGTGCAGAACTCTGGGAAATGTAGTTTGGGAAGGGAGGAGCCCTATGCCAGAGAATTCACAAGGCCCTGCCCTAAACTACATTTCCAAGACAAATCAAATCAAAGAGTTGCTCTTGATTAGAAAGGCACTTCCCTGAAGGCATCTATTTGCAGTTTTGATGTACTCTTGGAATTAGCCCTGATCCAGGAAGCTAAGGTTCCACAATGACTAGGAGTGAATTTGAACGATGTGTCGGTTGTACCTTCAGAGAATGATCCTTTGTATAAGTGTCGCTGGGTGGGGAACTAAACCTCATGGAATTCAGCAACACAGAGGTGTAGCAACCTTTGTTGTAGCAACTTAGCACCTAGTCCTAGGTGTAACAAGCGATATAACAACTTTGCTAATTTGACTTTAAGTCTTTTATTCTATTCTTCCCAAACACACATATTTTGCTTTACCTTTTAGAAGCAGAATGGGGCTGAAAGTGGAGAGAAAAGCAAGAATGGGTTAAAGCAACATAAATGTGGATAGGCAGGGCAGGAAAACATTCAGTTTGGTTCTTTAATTATTTTGTACTCTGCAAATAGGAATTTGCTTCAGAGTAGATGTTAGAAGAGCATGAGAAGCTAAATTAATCTTTTTGTCTAAAATAATAGGACAGAACACTTATGTACTGCACTTGAACCTCCGAATTTGAAGCACAGCTGTTGATAGGACTCTTTGAACATGGGTGACTGGAATGAAGTGATATGTCCATAATTAGACAGAAAATCTGAAAAAGACATTACCACAGAGCAGGGCAAGCTACCAAAACCTTTTTTGACATGTTGGACAATTGGGAATTAGTGGATGCTCAAGGAATGCCATGAATCACTATCTGGGATACACATGTTTTTCATTTCAAAGACTTTATCAACGCAAATAAACATAATAAGTAATAACGGGCATTTTGTTTCCTTTACAGTTTTTGGTGTACCAAATAGATTTTCTTCTTTGGAGAAATACCTTTTTCATACCATGTAAGGTTTTTGAGAAACAGTCAATTTTGTTTTACAGCTATTGCAAAATTATGAAACATTTTGCATTATATTTAGATCACTCATTATCTTTGACAGCCATAACCAATATTATATAACATGTAACAGAGACTCAGTCTGTTAAAATACCACAAAATAAATTTATGATAATGTAGAAACTTGCTCGGCATGCCAGAGGCTTTGACACTAGAGGATGAGGAGATAGGCAGTGATAGTGATCAGATGCAAGTGGTTCTGTGAGCATCTCAACAGGTTCCTTCAGTAGGCTGCAGTTCATCTGGCCCCACAGATTTGAACTAATTTCAGTTAACTTAGGCCCCTTCCATACTATCCCATGATCTGATCCCAGATTATCTATTTATCCCAAGTTATATGGCAGTGGAGACTCATATAATCCAGTTCAAAGCAGATAATCTGGGATCAGATCCTGAGATATAGGGCAGAGTAGATCCAGCCTAGATGATTCCCAGATAACTCCTTTTCAATCTGATCCCAGATTATCTATTTATCCCAAGTTATATGGCAGTGGATACTCAATCCAGTTCAAAGCAGATCCTGAGATATAGGGCAGAGTAGATCCAGCCTAGATGATTCCCAGCTATTTTTATTTGTAAGTCAGGGTCCTTGCCAACGTCTCTTCTGATGCATGTAAGCATACATTCCTCGTTCTGAGAAAAACTGGAACAAAACGGGTATTGAGCACTTCAGGGTTTTTTGTTGTTGTTGTGATCTGTTAGCATTTGCTTGCCTCAAGCAAATTGAAGAAACCCTCTTTTGTTGTTTTCTGCTTGCCTAGCCAGTCTCAGCCCATTTTGAGCCTTAGTTTTCTTTACAGTATTGCTGCAAACTTGGGTGACAGGTACATGGGAACTGCCAGCCTGTGTTAATATATGCACAGACCAGAATTTAAAACGAATTTTCTGATCATTCACGTCAATGTTCAAATTCCTCACTAACATGAGAGAAAGAGAAAAAAAATATGACTTGTAATGGACAGCTGGCATGTCTGCATTTTTGAGAGAATTTTTATTGTTTTTATTACTTTCAATGCTTTGGAAGCAGAACATTGTGATGGATTCATAAGAGGCAATTAATAGCTGAGCAAAACACTTCCTCACAGTGTTCATTTCCATTATGAGAACCAGAGCCTCTGCTATTTGTGTCCTAATAATTTCATTTGTGTAGTGAAGGGTTAGAAGAAATTTTGAAATGTGAAGTGAGAAAAGAGAAATTATAGGTTTATTTCATGGTACCAATATATATACATTTTTATCCTTTTTGATTGCTAAAGATTGATAGATGAAAAAATAAAGGTACAATACTCAAATCGACCCATGAATAAGTTGACCCAGGTTTTCTGGCTTAGAGTTTTGACTAAAACTTTTGGACTTATACATGTGTATATAGGGAAGTTTATTTGCTTTATATTATTATTTTATTGCAGGGGTTTTATCAACTTTAGGAAATGGATACGTTATTTACATGTCTACCCAACGGAAAAAAAAGCTGAAGCCTGCTGAAATAATGACTGTCAATTTGGCGGTGTGTGACTTGGGAATTTCAGGTAATTTAATGGGATGAGAATGAAAATATGAGGATTGGTAAACAGTGAGTGATCAATATGGATGGGTACTGTGTTCAGAGTGATGTGATCTGTTTTTACATGATAGCTTTGTTTAATTTCTGATGAGAAATGCCAACCTGTGTTAAAAAACACTGTGTATCCTTAACATTTGCACCGTATTTGCCACTCACTACAGAAAGTTGCTGTTGATTAATGATAAGCGACTGATCAGCATGCTCAAATGAATTGAAGAAATATGATGCTAACTGTCTTCAGATCTGAGATATATGTATATATGTATGTATATATATAATTAGGCTTGTGCATTTCGGCTGAACCTTGATCCCTTTTTGCGCGCCTCCCAAAAATGGGCTGGTAGCCGGATAGCCATTTTTTTTCCACAGCCGGAAAATCTGGCTAGATCAGGCCCATTGGTGGCAATGGGCAGGCTTCCCATGCTCCAATTTCCATTCTTGAGATCCTTTCCTTTTTCCCTTCAAGGGAGTCTGGTTTTCAGCAACGGGGTTAGCAAGCAGGCTGCCATATGATGCCAAATAGAGGAGGAGGAGCCGTGATTGGCTGCCACGTGGTCCCGTAGTGGATGAAAAAATGTGATGGTTGGGCCCTTGCCGTTATGGCCATCTGACCAATCCGAATTAAAAGATGATTTTAATGATGAATTTTTGCCGTTATGGCCAAAGGAAAACAGCTAAAACAGATCTGCGCACAAGCCTAACATATACAGAAATTGTTTAGTTTTCCTTCTGTTTTCATTCCTCTCCTTGAATTAGATTCAGGCTTCAAGCAATAATAATTTCTTTAGAATTTTATCTTTTTCATTCTTCTGGCCTCTTAAAACTTTTCTTTTCTTTTTAAATGTTTTTCCTTCTCTCACATGATTTTAATTTCCTTCGGAAAATATCCTGCATTTATATGCATTGATACAGAGTTACCCAACCCATCTCATTTCCTGCCTTTTATGGTTTTTGCAAGGCACTGGTCAAGAAAAGCTGTGTAACTCTTGAAAACCACAAATTAAATACTTTTTATCTGCTTTCTTGGCTGTTTTCCCCATCCTGCACAAACACCATTCCTCCATCAGAGTTCATTTATAGTCTCCTATGTGAATGAATGAATATTCTGTAATAGGCTACACCTCTGTTCACATATGTAACAGTAAGTAATGCCAAGAAAAGACCCTAAAATAAATAAGTTTCTTTTTACAATTAAGGCTGCTTAAGGTTTATATGCTGTCTTTAGATGAATTTTAATGTTTTTTAAAGCTAATGTTTTGACTTTGTTGCTTAATTGTATATTAACTATTTGGAAGTGTTGATATAGTTTTAATCTGTATAGGTTTTAATTGTTGTCAACTGCCTTGAGTGTCATTACTGAGAAAAAACCGGGATATAAACAATTAATTTAGCAGTAAAATCAATTGATTATCTTTTAATTCAGTTTCTACTTCTGTAGGGTTTTTTTGCCATTAAAAGCAGAGTAAAACTATTCTATTTATCAAGGCTATTCTGCTTTGAATATATGTTGGATTTCATGTATGATACTAACAGAGTTTAGGTTTTATTTAAACTAGATACATTATTATTATTTAAGCGCCCAATCATAATGGATAAAAAGCCTGAATAAAGGCATACCAAGAAAGTGTGTCTATTGAATCAAGAGCATAGCATCAACACAGTCTTCTTGTGTGGACCTAAAATTATCTGGACAATTTGTTCTTGCTCAGATGTCGCTGGATAGACGATATAAAATAATCAATTTATAGAAGGTTCGTTAAGCCTGTGTATTACTCAAAATATCAATTCTGTGAACTTTTGCATAATATCTGAAACTCAAGAAAGGAGATGGGTTCCTTTTTCGGCAGGCAAAAACACAGCTGGGCTTTTGTTGATTCTTTCAGCAGAGGAAGGAGGCGAACTGCTATCTCAGCAAAGAGAGGCATATTGCTCTGCACAGCCAGGCTTCTCAATGGATTTCGCATCTGGAAAGAGGGCTCCTTTTTGGAGTTCATTGCAGGCAGCCTGGTTCCTTCATTATACTTACCTTCATCCATAAAAGGGGTCTTTGCATATACGTGAAACTGTGTAATATGGATTCACGTCATATGCTGGCCAACTGTATAACCTGTGACTTAGAGTTTAACTGTAGGTCAGTGTGGGTGTATCCTTTAAGTATGTGACAAAGAGATGAGATATATAAAAAATAAAATTATATACATATATATGCAAATATTTAACTAAAGTATTTTATATTTAAAAAATGATGACACCTATGAGCATGTGACAATAGTTTCAGTCACAATCATGCAGGGAAGAGCATTCAAGTGCTAGACATGAAGGAACATCCGTAATGAATTATCATTAGTGAATCACATGTTTACTACTATGCTCAGTGACCCAGGTTGCACTGATAGATAGCATTTCTTGTTTGAACTCTTCCTTAACACTGATGTTGGGCTTGAGTTGATCATTAAATGCTGCTGCTTTAATTTTCCTTCTTTTAACAAGCTCTAGAGCACATCTATGCAGACAATTTAGGTCAGTGTGTGATTTTTTTCAACCCTGCAGTGACTAAACTCTAAACAGGGCTGATCCTAACTAACTCAGTTTAGGCACAGTTAAGACAATTGTCCCTAAGTGGAATCAGCCATAGCTCTCTCAGCAACCATCCCACGCTCCACTGTGTTTAATTCGACTGAACGTCAGGGAATTCCTGCTACCATCTGAACAGACATGGGTAAATATCATCCTTTGTCCCAAGTTATATAGGTCTGTATATATAGCATTGTGAATTATGTGTAAAAACCTATTGGTAACCCATTAAGTTGTCATAACAGGGAAATAGTGGAATCAATCCCAGGTAATAGTCTAACTGCAGAAATTTGGACCACTGACATGCTATATGTTAGGAAAACTTTAAACTGCTGTTAAATGCTTTCCAAACATATAGCATGTTACAATAATATGAACAATATGGAAGTAGGGCATGAATCAAATGGTCAAATCAAGTTTGCTCCTCATTATTATATGAAAAATAGACATCTCTTTGCACTGTTTGAAGAGGTGTTCCTTTGCATTACGATTTTGATATGATCCTTCATCCATTTTACTTGACTAACTGTCTTTCCCTTTACAGTTGTGGGAAAGCCTTTTAGCATCATTGCCTTCTTCTCTCACCGCTGGATTTTTGGTTGGAGTGGTTGCCGTTGGTATGGATGGGCTGGGTTCTTCTTTGGCATTGGGAGTCTTATTACTATGACAGCAGTAAGCTTGGATCGGTATTTCAAAATCTGCTATTTATCCTATGGTAAGTTGGAACTATATAAAAGAATAATGTTCTTATTTCCCTTGTGAGCTGTCTGGTCAATTTTTGAAGACCTTCAGTATCAACCCAACCATCAATGTAATTCAAAAACTTGCTATTTTTCATGAATTATCAAAAATTCATTTGAAAAATGCTTAGTACTTATCTATCTAAGCTTGAAAAAAATGTATACTGTCTAAATCATCAGATATTCAGATAAATATATTTTATACCTGTGATTGGAAATCTGTAGGACTCCACAACCCATCAGTGGCAGTCAGCATATAATGATGTGAGTTGTAGGCCCCTTCTACATTGCCATATAAAATCCAGATTATCTGCTTTGAACTGAATTATATGTCAGTGTTGACTCATATAATCCAGTTCAAAACTGATAATGTGGATTATCTGCTTTGATAATCTGGATTACATGGAAGTGTAGAAAGGGGCCATTGTCTAGAATCATTGCTCATTGATTGGTCAATACCTGGATCCATTACCTTTGTGTTTGGGTTAACCCTATTTGACACCTATAACCAGTAAAGTTGTATCCAACTTATTTTCTAACTACTTTGTGTGCACAGTGTTTTTGAAGCAGAGCAGAGTCACCACTGGGTGGGCAAAGTGTGACCCTCACCATGTGAATTTCTTTTCTTTTTTTTAGGGTTGCAAACATACCATTTGCACTTGTTGATGATATATTTAGATTAATGTGTAATTTGGTTGTTGATATATTGTATGTTTTGTAGACTGTTTTTACATGTTGTACACCGCCGTGAGTCGCCCCAGGGCTGAGAGCGGCGGTCAACAAATGAAGTAAATAAAATAAATAAATAAATATGTTTACTGTATCCTCCTATAGGTACCTGGCTGAAGAGACACCATGTTTTTATCTGCTTAGGAATCATCTGGTCCTATGCTACCTTTTGGGCAACCATCCCATTTGCCGGCTTGGGAAATTATGCTCCTGAGCCATTTGGGACTTCATGCACTCTGGACTGGTGGCTGGCTCAAGGTTCAGTGGCTGGGCAGGCCTTTATTCTGAATATCCTTTTCTTCTGTCTTGTGCTCCCAACTGCTGTGATTATGTTTTGCTATGTTAAAATTATTGCAAAAGTCCAGTCATCCACCAAAGAAGTAGCTCACTATGACTCCAGGATTCAAAACACAAATGTACTGGAAATGAAGTTAACTAAGGTAGGTATAGGAAGCGCTGTGAGTTTGGGGTTTTTTTAAAAAAATTTTTTGAAGGGAATGAATGATAACACAGAGCTCAGTGTAGCACATGGAGGTAAAACAATATGTATGATGCAGAAGCAAAGCAAAGATGAACTTGGGCAATAGTCAAGGGAAACAAAATTTGCAGATGACAAAGGGCTGCAGTCGCTTTGTGCTTTGTATAATTACTCTGCAAGGGAAGCACTAGTTTTGGAGAAAAGCACTCCAACTTTTGAATTCTTAATTAACTAATACAATTGGTTGAATTTTGAATTAATTCATTACATATCCAATATGTTTAGTTCCAAGTCCTGGAAACCCGTTGCTGCTGACACAAGACAAAGCAAACCATTAAACAGGATTAATATGGATATAGAAGAATCACAAGCATATTCAGTGATGCTTCTAAGGCCCTTTCTACACAGTCATATAATCCAGATTATCTGCTTTGAACTGGAGTCTACACTGCCATAGAAAAGTTAAAGGTTTTCCCCTGGCATTAAGTCCAGTCGGGTCCAACTCTGATGGGTGATGCTCATCTCCATTTCCAAATTGAAGAGCCGGCGTTGTCCATAGACACCTCCAAGGGCTTGTGGCTGGCATGACTGCATGGAGCGCTGTTACCTTTCTGCTGGAGCGGTACATATTGATCTACTTGCATTTGCATGTTTTCAAACTGCTAGTGGCAGAAGCTAGTGGCAGAAGCTGGGGTTCATGTCGCTCCCCAGATTCGAACCTTCGACCTTTTGATCAGCAAGTTCAGCAGCTCAGCGGTTTAACCCACTGCGCCACTGGGGGTTCAAAGCAGATAATTTGGATATTATATGGCAGTGTAGAAGGGGCCTAAGCCACCTTAAAAGAAGCTACACAACTACAGTCCCCACCACAAGCCATCTCTGAGAAACCTCCCAACACTTAACACAATAAAAGAGAGTTTTGTTATCGGTTCTGTGATCAGATAACAGTATTCTACAAAACATAGTAGGAGTTTGCTACAAATTCTAGAAAATGTAGACCAAGACAACAGCAAGCAGAAACACTCTTAAAAATGTTTGAGTCTTTTTTATTCATTTATCATTTGTAATTAAATTAAATTAATAGAAGAAAAACAGGATTAAAATAGATTTAACAGGCTAAAACTAAGTGTTAATGTGCATGAAATAAAAAGTGCTTGGCCTTGCATCAATAGGACAAGGAAGGAAGGAGAAAGAAAGGGCCACTGTCTTATTTGAAACATGACCCCCCACCTTCCCATGCCATAGACCAGTGGTTCTCAACCAGTGGGTCCCCAGATGTTTTGGCCTTCAACTTCCAGAAATCCTAACAGCTGGTAAACTGGCTGGGATTTCTGGGAGTTGTAGGCCAAAACACCTGGGGACCCACAGGTTGAGAACCACTGCCATAGACCATCCCATCCAGCAGGCTGCCCTACATGTCTCTGTGTTTCATGCAATCCCTGGGAAGATAGCATAAATGGGCAGAGAGCCTCATTCCACATACGCAAGCCTGGGACCAGTCCATTTCAAATAATAGATGGACTGTCACTTTGGGAGCTCCCAAAATGACCCATTTAAGGTGGAATCAAGTATCAAACAGGGATGTGTTAGCCTCCCAACCTTATTCTCCATCTTCATTGCTATGATACTTCATCTTGTTGATGGGAAGCTTCTCACCGGAGTGGAAATAATCTGTTGGACAGATGGTAGGTTATTTAACCTCAGCAGACTGAAAGCCAAAACTAAGGTCACAACAACATCTGTTATAGAACTCAAATTTGTTGATGAAAATGTAGTTTGTGCTCATTCAGAAGAAGACCTAAAAGCCACTCTAAACACCTTTGCACAAGCATATGAAAAGCTTGGCCTCTCACTGAACATCAAGAAAACCAAAGTGCTCTTTCAGTAGGCACCAACCAACCCCTCTGCAATGCCAGAAATACAGCTTAATAATGTAACATTAGAAAATGTCGGTCATTTCTGCTACCTTGGCAGCCACCGCTCCACAAGTCAACAACAGCACTGAAATACAACATTGCTTGAGATTTGTGAGTGCAGCATTTTTCCAAATGAAGCAGAGAGTGTTTGAGGATCAGGACATTTGTAGGGATACCAAGATGCTTGTTTATAAAGCTATTGTCCTCCCAACCCTGTTATATGCCTGCAAAACGTGGACCATCTATAGACATCACACTGAACTTCTGGAATGATTCCATCAGCATTGCGTATGGAAAATCCTGAAAAATCCCTTGGGAAGATAGGTGGACAAATGTCAGCATGCTGGAAGAAGCAAAGACCACCAGCATTGAAGAGATGATCCTTCGCCATCAACTTCACTGGACTGGCCAAATGCCCAATTGCTGTCTCCCAAAGCAGTAGCTGTATGCTCAATTCAAGAATGGTGAAAGGAATGTTGGTGGACAGGAAAAGAGATTTAAAGATGGGCTTAAAGCCATCCTTAAAAATTGTGGCATAGACACTGAGAACTGGGAAATTCTGGCCCTCAAGCGCTCTAACTGGAGGTCAGCTGTTACCAACAGGCATGGATGGAAAGTGAAAGGGAGAAACGTGTTAAGAGGGAGGTGAATCAAGCCAATTCTTCTTGGGACCTCCTTCCATTTGGAAATCAATGTCCTCAATGTGGAAGAACATGTGGATCAAGAATAGGTCTCTACAGTTACCTATAGACCCACTGGCAAGACTCTACACTTGGAAGGCAATCATACTTGGACACAAGGGATCACCGATGATGATGAGATGGACTGTGGGATAAATACTAGTAGCAAAAACAACAACAATGTCTTACCAAGGATCGTTTCAAACAGGAAAATTCATTGTGTTGTGATATCATCATCATCAACAATGTTAGTAGCAGCAGAATGACAGCAGCAACAAATGCCTAGAGCCAACAGATTTGTGTCAATTTGTATAGCACGATACAGGTTGAAACAACTGCGAATGCAGATGGAAAGGTATGGACAGAAAATAGAGCAGAGCATGAGAGTGAGAAGCTGCAGAACAAGGTAAATAAGCTGAATTGTTATTGTTACATAGCGAAGAATAACCTAACACATTACATAACAGAATTGTTTCAATATCCTTTTATATAAACCTCCGAGGATGCCTGCCATAGATGTGGGTGAAATGTCAGGAAAATTCATATTCCAAATCAAAAAAATTCAACTTGTTTGGCATCTGTGGAACAAAGCTTTGGAATTAGTTCCTGTGGTTGACCTCTAGCATCTTTCCCTTCAAAATGCCTTTCACAGTTGTGAAATCCCAGAATCATAGCTGGCATCCTGCCAGTAAGAAGCACTGATTAGTAACATCAAGTTATTTGCATATCTCACTTTTTGGTCATGGCGTTTGGATGAATTCAACCTTGCCATCTACCACAGCTGCCTCCCTGAGCCATCTGATGCAGGATCACAGCCAGTAATTCACAAGAACATGCCTCCAGGTTAAACAGTGGAGCTGCTAATACTCAAGAACAATGAACAAAAAATATAGAAACTGACCAAATACAAAATACTGATTGCCATATGAAATCATCAGTTGAACTTATTCTGTCTAGCAGGTCCAAATACATCTTTCAGGCTCCTCATTTTATTTTAGAAAAGTGTTCATTCTCATTTTAGTGCTTAATTCTTGGTGTCATCAAAAAGCCAAAATAGTATTGTCGGGTTGTTGTTGTTGCTTTTTAAAGCCATTGAACAATCCTCTTAACAGGCTAGCAAGTCATTGGGTGGAATAAAATATTAGAGCATATCCTATTGAAACATTGTCCAGATTCCCAAAGAAGCCAGTAGCATGTTTTTGTGTTTAATTTCTTAATTATGCTCCAGACCTTGGGAAAATCACCTACATTTGGTATGTATGCCCCCCCCCTCAAATTTGGTAATTAGAGATGGTACGTGGTTAGTTTTGTCACACCTGTGCCTCAAAAAAGACATTCCCATATTCACTGGAATTAACCCTTAAGCTTTTTTGGACCATACCACTAATTCTTTGTCCTTGCCCACTCTTATAATTTAAGTTGAAGTCTTGTACACATTTGTCTGAGAGCATGGCCTGTGGAATCAGTGGCACTTAGCTGCTTGTACAGGGTGTTTAAAGTGCACCAATGGACCCGCACTCAGCCCCAATGCTGTGCTTCCTGAAACCTCCCTGGTGACCCCAGGTCTGTCTAACTCCTAAAAGTCTGATTAACCATTTAAAAACCCACCCAAATTTCTCATTTATTTGCACAAAAACAACCAGTTTGGCTTAAACCTGGTCACAGATGTCACACTCTTCAGAGCCCACTAAGGACTGCTGAAAATCAATCAAAATGACAGCTAGATATATCACAGTAAGAAACTTCGAAGCACATGGAATAGCAAAAGTTGGGGTGTCCAGGTGGAATAGCCCACTATTCCCAAGGCAATTCACTATCTATGCATAGGATTATAACCCCCCCCCCCATACCTTGCCAAACTTCTTGCTAACATCTTTGTTATTGCAAGTAGAAGTCAGTAGAAAGGTTAATGTCAAAAAGTTGGATCTGTGTATGTTTGTATGAGGTTAATTTGAATCTATGTATTAGCATCCTGTTTCTCACTAATTAATTGTCTTTCTGGTAATAAGCAGAACCGACCAAGCAATGCAAAATGTGTTGACCATTCAAAGTAACAAGATTTTCCTACCTCTTATGCTCACCAGGTGGCAATGTTGATCTGTGCAGGATTTCTGTTTGCCTGGATCCCATATGCTGTGGTGTCTGTGTGGTCAGCTTTCGGAAGACCAGATTCTGTTCCCATCAAAGTTTCAGTGATCCCAACTTTGCTTGCAAAATCAGCAGCCATGTACAACCCAGTTATTTACCAGGTCATTGACTGCAAATCTGCCTGTTGCCAGCCAGGTGACCTCAAGCCCCTGCAGAAGAAGAACTCCAGGTATGTTTTCTACTAGTAAGATAATACATTAATCCATCTTCAAAGGCCAAACTAAAAATTACGACAGTTCTAGTGGTTCAGAAAACGGAGTTCTAATTTTACCACAGAGGAATTCTAATTCCTCCAAACATGTATCTTTCTGCAGCCCCAAACACTCATCTCCCAACTGACTGTGCTTTTCATGTCACAATGTGAGTGGCCAAAAAAATGGCAAGGAGGAGGATGTGTCTTGGGGGGGAAAGAGTTTAGGGAAGCAAATAGCTGCAGTACCATTGTTATTGTTGCTCCTGATCTGAAAATGTTAGTTTGGTATAGTGCTGCACAAGAAAGAGAGACCCAAATTCAAACGCTGGCTTGGTCATGAGACTTACTAGCTGATCTAGACTGCCACTGTGTCTCAGCAAATCTACCTTAATGGGTTTTGTTGACATTAATAAGGAGAGGAGAATCATGCAAAGTGACCAGGTACAGTCCTGGATGTGTACAAATAAAACAAGTGATAAAATATTTTACCATTCACGTGCACTTCCAGTGGTATTCTTTCATTAGATCACTAATGATCATTAGATCAATTGTAAACACCAGAGAAGTGTTTATTTTATTGTTATTATTATTGCTATATATATTTATTTCCTGCTTCTTCTCTCTTAGAAGAGGCTCAAAGAATCTAACAAGATTAAAAACAATACAGTGTACAATTTAAAAATAAGAATAGGACTATTAAAAATAAATGGTTCAAGTCGTTAAAATCATGAAACCACTATCACATACATATTCAGCACCCCCTGGCTCATACTTAAAAATGTTCTTCATTAAAAGCTCCCTAACTAAAATAGTTTCTGTTTTCCACTGAAAGAGACAGCAGGAGGAGGGCCATTCTAGCTTCTCTGGGAAGGGAATTCCAGAGTTGAGGGGCAGCCACCAACAAGGCCCTCCCTTGCATTCCCACCAACCATAATTGCAATGATGAGAACTAAGAGAAGGGCCACTTCTGAGGATCTTGGGGCCTAGGCAGGTTTGTATCAGGAGATACAATCTGCCAAATAACCTGGACTATGCTGAATAGGGCTTTATAGCTCATTGCCAGCACTTCAAATTGGGCCCAGAAACAAACTGATAGCCATTGGAACTGTTGCAACAGGGTGGTTGTTCACTCCTGGTGGCCAACCCAGGTTAACTGTCCGGCCACAGCTCTTTGGACCAGCTAAAGCAGGGGTCCTCAAACTAAGGCCCAGGGGCCGGATGCGGCCCTCCAAGGTCATTTACCCGGCCCTCACTCAGGGTCAACCTAAGTCTGAAATGACTTGAAAGCACACAACAACAACAATCCTATCTCATCAGCCAAAAGAAGGCCAACACTTCCCATTGAAATATTACTAAGTTTATATTTGCTAAAATTGTTCTTCATTTTAATTATTGTATTGTTTTTAAGTGTTTTTGTACTACAAATAAGATGTGCAGTGCGCATAGGAATTCATTCATTTTTTTTTCAAATTATAATCCGGCCCTCCAACAGTTTGAGGGACTGTGACCTGGCCCTCTGTTTAAAAAGTTTGTGGACCCCTGAGCTAAAGTATCCAAACACTTTTCAAAGGAAATCCCACGTAAAGCATGTTACAGTAATCCAAACAGGATGTAATTAAGGGGTGATCCAGCATCCCAAAGAATGGACATGGTTGGTGCACTCCTGGCCACTATGGAAATCTTTGCCTCCAGGTTCAATGCTGACTCCTAATGGCAGACCTGTGTCTTCAGGGGAGTGTGACCCCATCCAACACAGGCTGATTCCCTATTCTCAGATCTGCCTTACAACTGACCAAGAGTACCTCTGTCTTGTTTGGAATAAGTCTTAATTTGTTTGCCTTCATCCAGTCCATTACTGATGACAGACACTTGTTAAGGACCAGGACAGTTTCCTTGGCTTTAGGTGGAAAGGAGTAGTAGAGCTGGATGTCATCTGGTTATAGGTGGCACTGTACTCCAAAACTCTGGATGAGCTCTCCCAGTTGTTTCATGTGTATGTTAAGCAGCGTGGGAGACAAAACAGAACTCTGAGGAACCCCATAGGACAACGGCCAGGGATTCAAACAGGAGTCCCCCAGCACCACCTTCTGGGTTTGCCCCTCCAGGAAGGAATGGAACCACTGTCTCATCTCCAAGTTTCATCTCAGTGAGGCACCCTAGAAGGATACCATGGTTGATGGCATCAAAATCTGTCGAGAGGTTCAAGAAACCCAAGAGACTCCCCTGGTCCAGTTATCTGTGTAGGTCATCTACCATGGTGACCAAAGCTGACTTTTTCATAACCATGCTTGAAGCCAGATTGAAATGGATCTAGATAATCAATTTCATTCACAAGCCCATGAAGTTAGGAGGACAACACACACTCCTATGGCTTGCTCAAAACTAATTTTACTAGATTTTATGTCATTTTTCTTAATCAATAACAATATTGTTTGGTATTAATTAAGACTTTAAGAATGTTGGTAATGTTGAATTCACTTACATTAGTTTGTTTCTTCCCACAGGCTGTACATAATACCTACAGACAAAAAGTCTGAGGTAGTTCAGGAAACACAACTGGACAGTGTATGAAACCCTTGAACTGACAGTTAACCCACCAGTCCACCGTTTTCTTCTCACCTACTTCTTTTACAAGTACAGGCAGTCCCCAAGTTACGAACAAGACAGGTTCTGAAGGTTTGTTCTTAAGTTGACCTTTTGTGTAACTCAGAACACATACTTTTAAAAGTGTAACTCCAGCCACATACATATAATATAATCTCTTTGGATAGTATAGAGGCTAGCACCTCTGTGGTGTTTGTTTTGCTGTGTGTGCCCCTGTCCAGAAGATTTCATTTAACTTTCTGTCTCTGTAATAACTGGATTTTGAAAAAATTGGCTTGTTGTGGAAACAAAGATTGGTGATAAAGCTTCAGCACCTTTCCCCATGAGAACTATTTCAGGAGTGAATTTCCCTTCCAAGAGGGAGATTTCTCTCTCTTCCTGTAGTCTCACTCCTATTTATAACTATGAGTCATTTGTAAGTCGGATGTTCGTAACTTGGGGATTGCCTGTACATTTTAAATTATGGCACCTTCGCTTCACTGTGGCTATTGTTTTCTCATTCTGATGTCTTGCATAGAATGCATTTCCTACCCTGTTAAATTGGAAATATCACACTTTTCACTGTGTCACATGTTTACTTGTTCATATTCTAAATCTGTATATACATGTTATAATAGCTGTGCTTAGGATTTCCTTAAAAAAAACAGCTTTACAAAGTTTCTTATATAAACAGTGCTAAAATAGTGCTAAATGTTGTCACTGCTCATGATGTTGACACCGAACCAGCCTTTCATTTGTTCAGATAGCTTCAGCCCTCTAAACAACCACCATGTGAACATAGGCAACAGAACACCTTGAGCATGAGCTGAAGGAGGATGCGAAGAATGCTGATTATTATTTACATCCATGATGAGAAGTGGGTGTCATGACACTTGAGACAACCCACCAAAGAAAAGGAAAATAGTTACAAGATTCTTGGGAACTTGCATGGAAAACACATTGTTTCTGTATACAAAATAATATATTTGGGGGCAGAATATACTTTGTATAGGAATATTACTTCCACACTTCTTAATGTTATGCCATCTGTGCAAATGCCCCAATCCATGTGTGAAAAATGTGTATCTTGCACAAAATCCTCCCTTCCACTTTTTAGGTCTCCTAAAAGAAAACCATTGATGTATTGTCGAAGGCTTTCATGGCCGGAATCACTTGGTTGTTGTAGGTTTTTTTGGGCTACATGGCCATCTTCTAGAGCAGTGGTTCACAACCTGGGGTCCCCAGGTGTTTTTGGCCTTCAACTTCCAGAAATCCTAACAGCTGGTGAACTGGCTGAGATTTCTGGGACTTGTAGGCCAACAACATCTGGGGACCCCAGGTTGAGAACCACTGTTCTAGAGGCATTTTCTCCTGACGTTTCGCCTGCATCTATGGCAAGCATCCTCAGACCTCACTACCTCTGAGAATGCTTGCCATAGATGTAGGTGAAATGTCAGGAGAAAATGCCTCTAGAACATGGCCATATAGCCCAAAAAAACCTACAACAACCCAAAACCATTGATATTTGTGCAGAAACATGTTTTCTGTGCAGAAGAACTATATGTTTTTGTGTGTAAATGAGCTTTCCAGAGTACAAATAGTACTCAGAAATTGCTTTATATTCTTGTGAAGGAGAGGGGGAAAATCACCGAAACTGTTTGTTCTTGCAAGTGATAAATAAGTGAGCATTTATTCATGGACAAGGTGACTACTGTACCTTAACTCATATTAAAAATGGAGCCATCTCCTATATAAATAGAGTGGCAGAAGACAAGAGGTTAGTTATAACTCAGGAGAACCTAAAGGAAGGCAGTGAAATGGTGGAATGCCTCTTGACTTATCTATAGGTCACATGAAAATCCATAATTTTTGGTCCCTAAATCTCCTCTCAACTTACACATGATTTCGGTTTATATATGAGTATATATAACATCCCTAAATCAAAGACGTAGTCAAACATGAAGCACCCACAAACTCACAGCATTTGCTAACACTGCTTGACAGAGTGAATGGTGACAGCCTTTGGCAACCCATCCCACCTGAAATGAGGAGACATACATATACAACCCACTTATGACTAGGATAGCTAAGGAAACATTTGTCATCTGGCTTAATAGTGTTAAGAAGAAGAATAGAAAACCTTTTGAGCAAATCTTTAAACATTTTCATTCAAATATTTTAAAAAGAGACTGTGATATTCTGCACTGTTTTCAAGAGAGGAGTAGGAACAGTAAATGCTAATGTTCCTTCTCAAAAAGTTTTCCCCCAATTTTGCAGAGGAGTTTCCTCCTTAGGCATAAATGTTCTCTGCTGTACATTGTGATGCTGATTTACCACCTCATCATACAAGGCGTAAACTGGCAGCATATGCCAGTTAAGCCCTAGGTCATCCGCAGAGCCTACTGGTTCCCATCAAACAATGCAGATGAACTTCCAGCAGGGCTCTGTGGATATTCTAGAGCTCCGTGGATGCATACCACCACAGCAACATGGGAGGCAATGGGGGAAGCCATGTGATTGATGCTTTCCCCCACGGGATCAGCTTTCTTAGGAGCCAGAACAGAACCCAACAGACTTGCCAGTTTCACCACATTGCATGGTGATTCCGGCAGCTGTGTGATGAGGTTGTTAGTCTCCCATTGTACTTGTTGGACACTTGTCATACAAATGAGAACATACTTAACCCTTGAAGGCCCACTAGCTGCTCATAAAGTTGTTGGACAAGGTCCCAGTTACTTGTATCCATACTCTGAGAAGCAAATTTGTGCAAAATGCGTCCCATTTTACATCTCGAGCACATATTGACTGCCTGCGGGTTTTGTTAATATGATTCCTTTGAGTCCTGCTCTGATTGCAAAGATTTCATAAATTACTCAAGGAGTAACAGATTTATTTCTGAGGTGCAGTGAATGTTAAAAATACTAGACAGCAGTATTAGACGTGGTAAAAATGTTTCCTATTACAGCATCAAGTGTATGTTTCAGTTATTCTGAGATATGAAACAATTATAGTTCTATTCTTCTGCATCCTGAAAATTAATGTTACCTAATTATCAAAAAAGGAAAAATGTATTTAACACTTAACATTTGTGAATACCAATACTTTTAGTAGCTTAGTGGTTGATAATGCAGATACTTTAAATTTGTGGTATTCAAACAGCTGGTAATATTTTTATCAAGCCCGGAGAACAAATCTGGCAGCTATTTTCTGGGGCTCAGTATCGCCTCATAAATATTTTAAGAGCATTTGAACAAAGATGTTCAAGGAAATCCAACAGAAATAATCACTTTCTTGACATAAACTCTAAATCAAATAATTGATGGCACTGCCTCATATCGATGTACAGTTGTGTATTTTATTTTTTATTCAAAATTTTACATCTCTCATTATTGTGTGCACAAAAGGTAATACTGTGTATGTATCTGCATTATTATGGTGGATATGTCAGGTGGAAAGCTAATTTGACATTAATATGGCTGATAAAACAAGTAAATGGACATAATCACTGCCTAAGACATTCCTGCCGATTTCCACCTTCATACAAATAAAGTTTGTAGTGTTCACCTTACACAGAAAAGTACTTACAAATTGAAACTCCTTTGGAAAATTGAGTTCCCTTTTTATTCCTTTGTTAAATTTTTAAAGAATGTATGAAAATGTAGATAAATCTTTTCCTGAATAGCAGCAGCCTTTAAAGACTTTGTGGCCTCACAGACCAAAAAGATGCAGTGAAAAATTGATACTGAAAAAATTGTGATGAAATTTTGAGGCATGAGGAATGGTTCACAGTCTACAAGCCCTCTTCCCGTAGAACCAGCTATCAGGCACCTGAATGATGGCAAGTGTCCACTGGAAACTCTGAAGCTGCCAAGAGACAGTCCCAAAACAAATGCTTTCTGTAGTTGAGGGGGCATTGCACACTTTGGAGGTATTGAGCATGCAGTGACAAAGAGATGGTGTGGCTGACCCAGCTTCAGTCTTAGGAATTCAAGGGACAGCAAACAAGCATCTTACCTTTTTTGGTTGTTCATTCAGAAGCTGTAGCAACTGTATTTATAGCAAATCGGGAGGATTTGAAGTACAGAAAGCATGATAGATTTTGAAAGTTGTAATTTAGTATTCTCAAAAATTAAGAAACAAAATGAGTGAGCAGCTACATGGTGACTTGCCTGTCACACACACAAAAAACAAACTATGAATAAGCTTCATGCCATAAGAATTTGGGTCAGCAAGATATAAGCACATTAAAGTGTGAAGTATGTTGTCTGCCTCTACCAATTTGCCTCTCTAGACCAAAACTGATTGCCTATGTGATGAGACTTACAAAGGCATCTCGTACAATCTCATCAGATGAGTCTTCCGCACCTCAGTTGAGCCACAGAGCCCCACGCCACCCATCAGACGACTCAGGCTCACTTCCAGTGGGGCTTTGTGGCTTAACTGGGGTGCAAGCGGTCTACAGGGTTACACTCAGAACATGGGTGCCTTCCTGTGTTCCATTTAAAACAGTGGTTCCCAACCTTTTTTTTTTTTGACCAGGTCATTCCACAGTCTTGGGGCAGCCAATAATACATCTTAATCTCTGGAAGGGATATGTCAGGTGAGTTTTTATAAAATATTTATATGTTGGCAAACATCTTTACCCATCATTTGATAGTCTAATTTCAGATCAGGTTATCCAAATATTTTAAACCTCCACCTTTCCTTGCTCCACTGTTGATACTCACTGTTAACTATTGCATGAAAATATTATAATTTTGTGGCATTCTATATTTATCTGAAAAACATAACAAACATACACCAACAATAACAACACCAAACCCAAAGCTGGTATTAAACAGCAGGAACAGTGATGATTTCCTGGGCCAGAGATTTAGGGTAAAATATAGATTTGGAAAATTGGGGATATTCATGGGGAAAAAGGATTTAAATTTTCAGTAGCTGTTTACATTAGAGAAATTATGTATAAAATGTTCTATACAAGTTATATAACTCCTGAATTAATGGCCAAAATTGATAAAACCCAATGGGGGGAATGATGGAGATGCAAAATACAGAAAGGCACCTTCCATGTTTGGTGAACCTGTAGGGTGGTAAACATTTTTTGGGAAAAGAAACTAATAAATTAATTTCTAAAAAGATTAAGAAAAAGCCAGAAATGTGCCTATTGGGTTTGTTTCATGAAAGAATTCGTAAAGAAGATGTAGAAATTTTCCAATATAGTTTTGTGGCCGAGAGAATTACAATAGCAGAATCTTGGAATGGGGGGAAAGGTCTATTTATTAAGAATTGGAGAAGAAAATTAGTTGAGTATATTCAAATGGCCAAGCTCTCCTATTGCATACGGGGAGGGAACAATTGAGACTTGAACTTGGGTATTTAAAAAAAGAAGACAAAAATAGAATTTATTCATGTTATGATAAGAATCCTTGAAGTGACTGGATTGACCTTGAAGCAGCTGGGGGTGATGACGGCCGACAGGGAGCTCTGGCGTGGGCTGGTCCATGAGGTCACGAAGAGTCGGAAATGACTGAACTAATGAACGACAACAATGATAAGAATAGATTTTTGTTAGATACTAGTTCCATACTGTATGATGCTGGAAGTCATGGGTGATGGTTCATGGGTGGGAATGGCGGGGTGGGATTGGGGAAATAATAATTGTATTTTAATTGTTGAATTTCGTAGATTGTATGCTATTTGCACA